CTCTTCAGCCATCTTAATCTGATTGTATCCGCTGAATCCATCCATGAATGAGAATATCTGGTGTCCCGAGGCGGCATCCATGAGGGTGTCAATGTGAGGTAAAGGGAATTCATCCTTCGAGCAAGATTTGTTCAAATCTCGAAAGTCTACACATACTCTAATTTGACCTATGAATATCGGCCTTGGAGCATCTTGTCCATCACTTAGATCTATTTCAATAAGTTGTTTGGGCTGACGCTTCGACCCATCTTGCATGCATTCTGGAGCCACTTCAGGCTTCATTACTATGTCATTGTCAAGAGGCTCTTGTTTTGACTCGAAGTCGGTGGCTGAAGAAATCGACTCCCCGCACCTTCACAAATAGTACACCATCTTGCCCCATTCTCGGACTTTCATCACCTTCCGAAGAATAGGTGGACTTTCTGGTCGAGACATTGCCCGTTTACTTGATTCTGCCTTTGGCTCCTTGTCATCTTTGATATCCTTCCAACGAGGAATTTTGATCCCCCGAGGCTTAGAGGTGGTGGGAACTTCTTCGACAGCCAATTCAGTGAAGTAGATGGCATCAGAATAATGAGCTTCATGGGTCTCGAAAGGCCTTTTTATAGCCTGAATTGTCACCGTCTTCTTTTCCCATTTAGCCTTAACACACTGATGATAACTTGACGATACAGCCCCATATCTATACATCCAAGTCCTCTCTAGAATGATGTGATAATTTGCCTCGGAATCGATAATATGGAACTTGGTGGCCGAGCGAATCTCTCTGACGGCTAAATCAACTGTTACACATCCTATAGTAACTCTCCTTTCTCCACCAAAGCCAGTGATGACTATCGGTTGTTTCACAATGCGTTCTTCAGACATTCTGGACTTTTCTAGAGTAACGGGAGTCATAATGTTGATAGAGGCTCCGTTGTCCAAAAAGGCCCTTTTGAACTCAACCCTGTTAATAAAAGCAGTCACATAAAGCGGGCGATTATGAGAAATGGGATACTTTCGATCAGCCTCAGAGAAAGTAATGGCACTAGATTTCTCTTTTGCCTTCCTCGAGATAGATCCTCCAGTTGACATGCATTCCTCATGGCGTGCCTCGACTATATTAATGATGGACTTGGTGATTTCTGTTCTTGCCTCCCTGGAAAGTCCAAGTTGGTCGAAGAATTGCTTGAACTTTACACAGTCTTACAGGGTTTTGGCATAGTGGTCCGGATCTTTTTCCACTCTTGGAGGCTCGTAGTTAACCATCTCCTCGGTCTCTTCAAAATAAGGTGCCACATAAACATGGTGTCTTCCTCTTCTGTAGTACTGTTCTCCTCCTTTTGGATCAAAGGGATCTTTGACATGAGTCATAAAGGTTCTACCCTCTGGATCGAGAGCACTTCCATAGTAAACTTGCTCACCTTCGGGCTCGAAGATGTCGTCCAGATAAAAATCATTGTCATCGAGATTGGTGATAGCCTCGATCATTGAGCCTTCATAAGATACCATAGCAACATTCTTGCCCTTGTCTCGGTGCTGAGGATATGGTTGTTCTCGGATGTCTTGAGTCCCATGCTTCTTGAACCTCAATTTGTCTGCCTCGACTTTATCTCTGAAGATTTTCCTGAGAGTCCAACACTTTTCTATCGGATGTTTCAATGTGCGATGGTTGACACAAAATTCAGGGCTCTCGTGGTCCTTTTTTGATGGCATTTCTTCAACATAAGGCAATTTTAGCTCTCCGTCGGCCACCCATTCTTTAACTAGAGCTTTCACCTCCTTGATTCCACGTGGATAAGAAACATTCCCCTTTTCACCATTATATTGTTTTCTCTTCTAGCCTCTATGACCTCCTCCTTGTGACTTTCGGGTGTCTGGAACAAAAGCAGCGGCAACAATAGGTCCACGAGACGATTTGAAGCTAGTATTGTAATTGGCCTTAAATCCGGACTCCTGAGCCTGAGGAATGCTAATGTTTTGAGCTGCTTCTATTAATGCCGAGAAGGTGGGTCACTTATGATTAACTAGAAACATTTTGTACCTACTCAATGACCCTTCTAGACAGATTTGAACCAGATAACTCTCTTCCACTGCTTCATGGAAATCCACGACCTTGTCCTGAAACCTTTTGACGTAGTCAAGGATGTCTTCACTTTCTTGCTGCTTTTCTTTACATAATGTAAGTGTGGTCACCTTCTCCGCCACTTGAAAAAACTTAGAGTGGAATTTGTTAACCTTTTCGTCCCAACTTTGGACAGAGTTTGGGGCCAAATTAACATGCCAACTATATGCTCGGTCAGTGAGGGACTTAGAGAATTCTCTCAGCCAGAGGACGTGGTTTGAACCATGAATACCCAAAGTCTCAATGAATCGCACAACATGTTCTTGAGCATTTCCTTGTTTGCCATCGAACTTGATGAACTTCGGCACTGTATACCCCTCAGGGTATGGATAGCTCAGCATCTTAATGGGGTAAGGCGGCTTGACATTCAGATCAGGCAAAGAGGGTAAAGTCCTCTTGCCCCATTCGAGATCGAACATGGCTTGCACATTGGCGAGAGTGAGAAACTGTTGAGAGAGAGAGTTTAATGGTGGTATTCCCGGAACTTGGCTTATGGACCGGAAGACTGAGCTAGGGGCGACTTGGCCATTCTGGTGCTGCAAATTCATCATTGGTGAGGACATTTGACGATACTGGCCATCAGCACCTATAGACAAGCCAGTTGGTGATGGGACATTGAATTGAGGCCCGTAAAGTCCACCGCACGGCGCCGCTATACCGAGTTGTGCTTGCAAATTTGTTGTCGGCACCAAAGGAGGCCCGTTTGGTATTTGAGTAACATTTACTGGTGGCGTAACAAGATTAGGTACGGGCAGAGCTCCCTTTTGCGACATCATGCCCCTTATATTTGTCTGGGCACCAACAGTCGCCAGAGTGCCATTCATTACATCAAAACCTCTCCTAGCCACCATTGGATCTTGTCTTGGCACGCCATGGTGCCCGGTGTGGTCAAATTGCTGCCGCCTACTGCGGTTTGAGCTTGTGTTACTGTGGCCGTGTTGCCATGAGCCATAGGCTGATTGGGGCCTACTTCTCCTTGAATTTGATTTTGCACCCGACGGGAATAACTCTACCACTAGTTTGATCTCCGTTTGGCACCGGTGCAAAATTAGAACTCATCACCAACATGGTGTGAGTGAGATTCTGAAGAGTGGTAAGAATCTCTTGCTGAGTATTTTGAAGTCCTTGAATGGCTTCGAGCAAAAGTGGTTGATCTGGAGCCATGGTCCTGTCATCACCACCATTAGTGGATCCTTGTTGGTGAAATTCATCTTCTCCCACCATCTTTGTTGGAGTTGTGTGGGTTCCAGATCTCGTTAAGACCATTAACCAATCCTCCTTCCCCAGTGGAGTCGGAGAGGGTTCAAGAACGTCGTTGGAAAATTCGAAGATCTTCGAGGATCCTTGAAGAACAACTTCGAATTCTCTAGAAGATGATGAGAGGCTTAGGTTCTTCAATGGTCTCAACTTAAGAACACAAGAGTAAATGAGATGATGGAGATAAGAGATTGGGTGAAGAAGAAGACAAAGTGGCTAGAGAGAGAATAATGGCAAGGCTCTCCCATGGATCTCCCACTTTCACTCTCAAGGTTGATAATGGAGAAGGGAAATTAGTTCTTTTCCAAGAGTTAAATCTCCAAAATCCATCCCTTGTAAAGCTATGGGTGGGTGCTATTTATAGACACCTCATGATGTAGGATGGAGCCCATGTGCAAGGTACATGGGGAATATTCTCTCTAACCACCTTGTCCGAGGGGGTGATCTCTCCGAGGATGAGGAAAACCCCGAAGAGGAGATCAACCTCTCGGCGAACCCTTTTTCTTAGCCACACCTAACCAATGATCCCCAATCATCCCAAAGGGTCAGGGGTAGTCCCAGAGGACGTCCTGCAGCAAATATTGCCGAGTCTCAGGGACCCCCTAGATCATGCCACCATGACCCGGGTATAGGCTAGTTTAACCGAAGAGTGAATTTATCTCCACTCACCGTCCTCGGGATCAGGTCCTTTGTTTGAACTCCATTACGTCCATGGTTCTGGTGCGTAGATCCTGGAAAGCTCCGAGCCCGCAAGTGTTCTGGGACTCATTAACGGAGCGACTTCTAGATTACATCTGAATCCGTTCAAAGCCAAGTGCTTCGGATCTCTAGGTTCGTGGATCCGAACCCTTTCGAGTCCGAGTGTCTCTGATCTCTAGGCTTGCTCAATACCCTTTCGAGTCCAGGCCAGAGTAAGTCTCTAAGTTCGTGGATCCGAACCCTTTCGAGGCTTAGAGCGATTCAACCCATTTGATGGAGATAAATCTAGGCCCACCAATCTTGAACTTGGGATAAATTCAGGCCCACCAACCTTAGACTACTGGGCCTAATTAATTTAATGGGCTCAAATTAGCTCCTCTTACAGGTCTTTGTTTTAGAGTTGATTGAATTTAAGCTTTTTGGGGGTCAATAATGCTTCTTTATAGCTCTAATTATTGTTTGGTGGTTTGATCTCTCCAAGATGAATTGCGGCACATCAAATGTGAGATTGGGGTGTAATGACGTACTCATTGTTTTAAGTTGGAAGGTTGAGTTTTACTAAACCATTGCATATGGAATTGATATTTGTGATTCAATTACACAACATGATGACATAGACTAACAGGATGAATTGTGACACATCATATGTGAGATTGGGGTGTAATGAGGTACTCAATGGTGTAAGTTGGAAGGTTGAGTTTTGCTAAACCATTGCATTTGAAATTGATATTGATATTTGTGATTCAATTACACAACAATGATGACATAGACTAACAGGATGAATTGTGACACATCATATGTGAGATTGGGGTGTAATGAGGTACTCAATGGTGTAAGTTGGAAGGTTGAGTTTTGCTAAACCATTGCATTTGAAATTGATATTGATATTTGTGATTCAATTACACAACAATGATGACATAGACTAACAGGATGAATTACCGCACATCATATGTGAGATTGGGGTGTAATGAGGTACTCATTGGTATAAGTTGGAAGGTTGAGTTTTGCTAAACCATTGCATTTGAAATTGATATTTTTTATTCAATTACACAACAATGATGGCATAGATTTTTTTTTTTCCCCTTTTTTATTCAGAAATGAAAGAAAGAAAGGAGACAAAAGTGTGAAAACAGAGGCAAATGTGCAACAGAGGCAAATGTAGAGTGAGGCATGACTGCGAAGAGTATTCAGAGAGGAATTTGAATGTGCTGCCCTTTTTACTCACTAGAAAGAAGATAAGTAAATCGTTTTGGTAAATTAGTGCAAAGCATGAGATCTTTCAAATTATTTTGGGTACCCAAAATGGTTAAAATCTATCTCGATGAAATTAGTCAAATATATCTTGGGTAGTTTGGTTGCCATTGTTCACTCTGGCAGCTCGGTTCACTCTGATCATCAAGTATCGAAAGGGCTCTAAGCCTCGAAAGGGTTCGGATCCACGAACTTATAGACTTACTCGGGTTCAGACTCGGACTAGAAAGGGTTCGGATCCAACAACCTAGAGATCTGAAGCACTTGGCTTCGAACGTATTCAGATGCAATCTAGAAGTCGCTCCGTTAATGAGTCCCAGAACACTTGCGGACTCGGATCTTTCTGGATCTACGTACCAGAACCATGGGCGTAATGGAGTCCGAACAAAGGACCCAATCCCGAGGATGGTGAGTGGAGATAAATTTACTCTTCAGTTAAACTAGCCTATACCCGGGTCGAGGTGGCACGATCTAGGGGGTCCCTGAGACTCGGCAATATTTGCGGCAGGGCATTCTCTTGAACTACCCCTGACCCTTCTGCGGCAGGACGTCCTCTGGGACTACCCCTGACCCTTTGGGATGATTGGGGATCATTGGTTAGGTGTGGCTAAGAAGAAGGGTTCGCCGAGAGGTTGATCTCCTCTTCGGGATTTTTTCTCATCCTCAGAGAGGTCACCTCCTCGGACAAGGTGGTTAGAGAGAATATTTCCCATGTGCCTTGCACATGGGCTCCATCCTACATCATGAGGTGCCTATAAATAGCACCCACCCATAGCTTTACAAGGGATGGATTTTGGAGAGAAAACTCTTGGGAAAGAACTAATTTCCCTTCTCCATTATCAACCTTGAGAGTGAAAGTGGGAGATCATTGGGAGAGCCTTGCCATTATTCTCTCTCTAGCTACTTTGTCGTCATCTTCACCTAATCTCTTATCTCCATCATTTCTTTACTTTTGTGTTCTTAGTTAAGACTATTGAAGAATCTAAGCCTCTCATCATCTTCTAGAGAATTCGAATTTTTCTTCAAGGATCTTCGAAGACCTTCAAATTTTCCAACAACTTTCTTGAACCCTTTCATACATTTGGCGACTCTGCTGGGGAGGCGGATTGGTTAATGGTCTCAACGAGATCTAGAACTCATACAACACCGACAAAAATGGCAGATAATGAGACTCATCAGCAAGGCTCTTCCAATGGTGGTGATGTAAGGACTCAAGTTCAAGACTCACCTCTCATCCTTGAAGCCGTTCAAGAACTCCAACACACACAACAAGGGATTCTCACGACCCTTCAAAATCTCAACCACACCATGTTGGTGATGGGTTCGAATTTCACACCACTAGCAACCAATAGAGGTCAAGTCGGCACTGACAAGCATCAACAAGTTCGTGTTAACGTTGGAAATGGTCAAAACCATCAAGATCTACCCCAAATTCTCCCTAAAGTTATACAAAATGGTGTGCAAAATCAAGTGCTAGGAGGAACAAGTCATGGCCAACCTGTGGCCCATGGAGCACAAAATCACGCACCTGGAGGATTGAGCCATGGTCCATCGGTGGTTGGAGGAGTTTCTGGCGCGATGAATGGTGTTCCAGCGAATGTGGAAGTTCAAGGAAGGCCTACAGAAATTTCTCTACAAAATGGTGCTCCATCTATGCCTAATTTTGTTCCACTGATTGTAAATTCTACTCATGTACCGAGTGGGTCTCCTTTGGCTCCGACGCCAAGTTTGCAAGTCCAACGCAGTATAGTCGTGGCATACAATGGACTTTATGGGACCCAATGCAACGTCTCATCACCAAATGGCGTGTTCATAGGTGCCGATGGCCAATATCATCATCTGTCCTCACCGATGGTGAATTCTCAACACCTAAATGGCCAAGTTGCTCCAAGATCAGTGTTCGGGTCTACAAGTCAGATTTCGGGAATACCACCATCAAGTTCTCTCCCACAACAATTTCTCACTCTCGCCGATGTGCAAGCCATGTTCGATTTCGAACGGGGCAAGAGGACTTTACCCTCTTTGCTAATCCGGATGTCAAGCCACCATACCCTATTAAGATGTTAAATTATCCATACTCGGAAGGGTACACACTGCCGAAGCTTATCAAATTCAATGGTAAGCGAGGAAATGCTCGAGAACATGTTGTTCGGTTCATCGAGACTTTAGGGATTCATGGTTCAAATCATGTCCTCCGACTGAGAGAATTCTCCAAGTCCTTTACCGACTGAGCATATAGTTGGTACGTTAACTTGGCCCCAAACTCTGTTCGAAGTTGGGAGAGATGGTCAACAAATTCCACGCCAAATTCTTTCAGGTGGCCGAGAAAGTGACCACACTTACCTTGTGTAAGGAAAAGCAGCAAGACGGTGAAGACATTCTTGAATATGTGAAGAGGTTCCAAGACAAAGCCGTAGACTGTCACAAGGCTGTAGAGGAAAGCTACCTAGTCCAAATCTGTGTTGAAGGGACATTGAACGGATACAAGATGCTTCTTGTTAATCACAAGCTACCCACATTCTTGGCACTAATTGAAGCATCTCAGAACATCAACATACCTCAATCTCAGGAGATTGGGTTCGAGACTAGTTATAAAACCAGCTTCAAGTCATCCCGAGGACCTTCTGTCACTGCGACTTCCGCGTCTTCTACCTGAAAGTCGCAGGGGGAGGAATTCAGAGGTCAGAAGAGGAAAAACTGCGAAGATGACACTCATTTTCCGTGTAGTGTTGAGGAGGTGAAGGCCTTAGTTAAAGAATGGATGGCAGACGGGGAACTGAAGTTGCCTCATATCGAAGAGTTTTTGCCGAAGAGAGACGGTGAGGGTCCTAATTATTGTGTTTTCCACCGATCACTAGGACATCCCACAAAAAAGTGTCGGACGCTTAAAAAGACTTTTAGAAAGAAAGTCGAAGCAGATGAGCTAGAGTTCAAAGAACAAGAGCCTCAAGATATCTTAGAAGACGTGGCTATGATGGCGTATGACAGCCACAACCCGAGCAGTTGGTGAAAGTTTTCCGAAGGACCTTGCGACTCTAGGGGCAAATGTCAACATTCCGCAGAAAAAGCCTATCTAAGGCTTGGCCTTTGATTGCCTTGAGAGCTACACATGTGATTTCGAATTCACCCAGTACTAACAACCATCTTGCCACCTTCCCGGTTAGAGCAGGCTTGCTGAGGAGGTATCAAATTGTATCACTTCTAGTAACAATCTGAATCCGATGTGCTAAGAAGTAATGTCTGAGCTTTTGGGCGGTGAATACCAAAGCTAAACAATGTCTCTCTACCGGAGTACATCGGACTTCTGCTACTCGAATCTTCCGGCTGATGTAATACACTGGGCGTTCTGCTCCATCTACATCTTGGACCAATAATGCCCTTATGGACTTGGGGGTTGAGGTTAGGTACATCATTAAAGGTACCCCGAGCTACGGGGCTATCATGGTCTGAGGCGAGGTTAAGGTTGCCTTGATTCTCTCGAAGGCCTTTTGGTGCTCCTGGTTCCACTCCAACTTGGCATCTCCTTTTAACAATGAGCCGAAAGGGGCAGAGATCTCTGCAAGTGCTGGGATAAACCTTCGAATATAAGACACCTTTCTGAGGAACTTCTTTAACTCCTTCTGAGAATGCGGGGGAGACATTGCTCTGATAGATTTGACCTTGTCTTTATTTGCCTCGATACCATGCATGTGTACAAGAAACCCGAGGAACTTCCTAGCCGTCACCCCGAATGCACATTTGAGAGGATTCATCCTCATTTTGAATTTCTAGCATCTCTTGAATACTTTCTCAAGGTCTCGGAGATGGTCCTCTTCTTTCTTGGATTTCACCACTAGATCATCAACATAATCTTCCACCTCATAATGGATAATGTCATGAAAGATTGCAGTCATAGCCCTTTGATAAGTTGCTCCGGCATTCTTGAGTCCGAAAGGCATGATTATATAGAAGACGTTTCTGAGAGGTGTTCTAAAAGCAGTCTTTTCTGCGTACTCTTCAGCCATCTTAATCTGATTGTATCCGCTGAATCCATCCATGAATGAGAATATCTGGTGTCCCGAGGCGGCATCCATGAGGGTGTCAATGTGAGGTAAAGGGAATTCATCCTTCGAGCAAGATTTGTTCAAATCTCGAAAGTCTACACATACTCTAATTTGACCTTTCTTCTTCTTTACTGGCACTATGTTTGCCAACCACGTGGGGTACTGTATTGGCCAGATGAAACCAGCCCGTTGCAGTTTTTCAATCTCCTCCTTAATCTTCTCTTCGAGATCTGGATGATATTTTCGAGCAGCTTGCTTAATTGGCTTGGAGTTTGGGAACACATCAAGATAATGGGAGACTAGGTCAGGATCTAGTATGGGCATTTCTTTATATGACCAAGCAAACACATCTGAGTACTGGCTTATCAATTTTAACAACTGTTCCCGCTTCTCTGGGCTAAGGCTCGAACTTATGAATATCGGCCTTGATGCATCTTGTCCATCACTCAGATTTATTTCAAAAAGTTGTCTGGGCTGAGGCTTCGGCGCATCTTGCATGCGTTCTGGAGCCACTTCAGGCTTTATTACTATGTCATTGTCGAGAGACTCTTCTTTTGACTCAGAGTCGACGGTCGAAGAAACCGACTCCCCGCACCTTCACAAATAGTACAGCATCTTGCCCCCTTCTCGGACTTTCATTACCTTCCGAGGAATAGGTGGACTTTCTAGTCAAGACATTGCCCATTTACTTGATTCTTCCCTTGGCTCCTTGTTATCTTTGATATCCTCCCAACGAGGAATTTTGACCCCCCGAGGCTTAAAGGTGGTGGGAATTTCTTTGACAGCCAGTTTGGTGAAGTAGATGGCATTAGAATAATGAGCTTCATGGATCTCGAAAGGCCTTTCTGTAACCTGAATTGTCACCGTCTTCTTTCCCCATTTAGCCTTAACACACTGATGATAACTCGATGGTACAGCCCCATATCTATGCATCCAGGTCCTCCCTAGAATGATATGATAATTTGCCTCGGAATTGATAATATGGAACTTGGTGGCCGAGCGAA